GGCCGGCGCGCCACCGCCGCAGCCGCAGCAGCTGCCGCCATCTCAGCAGCAATTCAGCTCTGGCGGCGGCAATCCTTTCGACTGAGCGTCTGCGGCCGCCATCCCACCATTGTGGTTGCAGGCAGTCGCTGAGTTTGCGAGAGCGAGGGGCATGCACTTTGGACTTTGATGCATTTGATCCATTGCTGATCATGTAATTATTCATCGTGGGAGTTCGAAAGGTCGAAAAGCTTGCTCCTGGCAGGCGCACAGCTGGTGTCACGTGGCAGCACGGTTGCCAGCCCGCCCCCCGTGCCCTCGTTTTTGCACAGCGTCTGGGTGCATGATGCAGGTCCTGACCGCTGACCTGCCACCTGCATTACTGTATGCTAGTTGTCACCACCCCCGCAACACCTACTGTGCCACAAACTCACTCCTTGAAAAATCTGCGAGCCATGTGCTCCCCTCCAGTGGGCAGGCTTCAGAAGCGGTCGAACCCGCATCACGCCAGCACCGGCGACGTCGACTCCGAGATCAGCACGGCGGTGCTAGCAAACTTGTTTCTTGTTGGAACCCCATCAATTTCATGCCAACCCACGCCAGGTGAGTTGGGGCGAGACTCAATGTGGGCGTACTGTGAAGAAGGTGCGCGTTCGGTGATGAGCGATGGGCACCGCCGCAATTTCGGTGCCCTATTCACAGCACGACAGTTTGGACTCCAGCTTCACGGAGTACAGCGCAACTTACTGAATATCTTGCTGCCAGGTTCGGCTCGTCATGCGATTCCCGAGCTGAACGAGTCAGCAATCATGGCATTCTCGCTGAGATCGCCCTTGGGGCTGCTTCTACTGCTCTTGATCGCGTCTATATCATGGTGTTGTGCAATCGAGTCGCCCTCTTCTTATGGATCGGGTGAGGAGGAACGGTCTTGGCTTCCGGGTCGCCGTTGACCTTGTTACGTGTTGCAAAACAGGAAGCACAGAGCACTTCAACGAGCCAGGGACACAAAGTCATGCTTCAAGAACCTCTTGATGCCCCGTGTGCTTAGATCGGCCCCGCGCCTTCCGTCGGCGCAGGCACAAGGGGCGACCTACGTGGGGCCTGGCCCTGGCGGCGGCTGCTGCAAAAGCAGCTACATGTCACCTCACCGAATGGTAAGATCCCGATACCTGCTCGCTCACCAAGACACCTGCTTATGGTACGGTGAACCGATTCGCCACCCCTATGTACATTGCTGCTGACACGTTCCCCTTGGCACCATACGTGCAGTTTCTGCCCATGTGACAGCGGCGCAAAGCGCAGCTGCAGCTGCGAGTGCTGCTGCAAAGCAGCGCGGCGGCAGCGAGCCGCGCAAGGCCTCAACCGCCGGCAGCCATCCCACAACCAGCAGCGGTGGCAAGGGCGGCGCGGTCAAGGTTGCTGCGCACCGCCTCCCCGACACTTCCCAGTGGGACACCCCCGCCGGCCCCGGCTGGACCTCTGACGTCCCTTCAACTGTGCCTCAGTCGGGCGGCGACGCCAGCAGTGTCGAGAGCAGTGACGCCGCGGGCGGCGCCGCGCCGCCGCCGGCTGCACGCCCCTATTCATGCGGCGGAAGCGGCGCGGGCGGCGACAGCCGCGGCTCCTCCGGTGGCGCCGCCCCTGCCGGCACCAACAGCCCTGGGAGCGGCGTGCAGTCAAGCAGCGGCGGCGCCGGCGGCGGCGACAAAGATCCCGCGCTTGCTGCGCCACCGGGGGACGGCGGTGTCTCCAGTGACGGACCCCTCACAGATGTGTCAAGTGAGACCGCCCCCAGCACCGACGGCACCGGTGGCGGCGTCCCCGGCACCCAGGCCCAGGGCGGCGGCGCCCCTGGCTCGCCCTTCGGCGTGCTCGTCGCACCCCGCAGCGCCCCCAGCGCCGGCCCACTGAGCCTCGTCGCACGCGGCGCGTCCGCCGACGCGGCGCCCGCGGACGCCGCGGCATTCCTCGACCGCGCAAACCGATACCGTGGGGCCCATGGGGCTCGGCCCCTGGCGTGGGACGCAGTGCTCGCGTCAGGCGCATCCGCGTTCGCCAGGACCTGCCCTCAGGGGCACTCGGGCGCGCCCGGCGTCGGCGAGACCCTCGCATGGGGCCAGAGGGGCCCCGCTGAGGCAGTGGATTCGTGGTACAGCGAGGTGGGTGCGCTGCCCCGGCGCGGGCGGCTGGGCGCCGCACGCTTGCCTTGAGCAGCGCTGCTGCGGCCACGGGCCGTGCCCCAGCGGCAGCAGGGCAGGCGCCCAGCTGCTGCGCCGCGCTTTGCGTGCTGCCTTGGAGCGATCACAGAGACAGACCACCCAACAGCTCAAGGACCCAACAGCCGCTGTCGCTGCAGCTCCTCCCTCTTTCCGAACGCCCAGCCGCCTCCCCTTCTAATGGCGCCCCCTCAACACCCCTAGATCGGCAACTACGACTTTGCAAGGCCGGGCCCATCCGGCCTCACCTCCCAGTTCACGCAGCTCGTGTGGGCCGATACCACGCGCGTCGGCTGTGCCATCGCATCGGCGTGCAGCTGGAAGACCTTCGTCTGCCGCTTCTCCGCCGCCGGCAACGCTCCCGCAGCAAACTGGGCGTCCGAGGTCCCGCCCCCATCCGGGCCGGCACCCGCCGCGGGGGCCGGCGGCGGGCTCATCCTGTCGCGCGCAGTGGTGCGGCCACAGCCGCCGCCGGACGTCCCACGCGCGTCGTGGGAGCGGGTGGGGGAGCCCCTCTTTGTCGAGGATGCTGACGAGGACGCCGCGGCGCCCGTGGTGCGTGCGCCCTTGGCAGCCGCGGTGCTGTCACCAGACCTCCAGGCAGCCCTGGACGAGACCAACCAGCTCAGGTGTGTATACATGTTTCTACATTCTGAATACATACTGTCGCTTGAAGCTCGCCTTGGTTGGGGAAAGCACATATCTGCTGCGACTTGAATAAACCCGCCCGCAAGGCCGGCAGAACCCTGAAAGCTTCCCGGAAACCGGCAGCGACCATGTCAAGGGGTGCACCGCTTGCCAACCCCCCCCCTCCATCGTGCTGCTGCAACGCCGCCCTCCACGTGCACCCTGCCCCCACGTCACACCTCTGCAACCACCTCCGCCCTCCCAGGGCCCA